TAGTTGTCCAGCTAATTTCTTTCTATTTTTTTAGTAGAGACGGGGTCTCGCTCTTGCTCAGGCTGGTCTCGAATTCCTGAGCTCAAACGATCCGCCCGCCTCGGCCTCCCAGAGTGCTAGGATTACAGGCATGAGCCACCGCGCCCGGCCCATCTTCCCACTTTTGATACACAGCAGTGAGTGCCTAGGTCTTTGGGATGGCCGCTTAGAGCCCCACTCTGGCTTACTGTGGACACACCACTGTTCATCGATCGAGTTTCCTACTGACATTCTTTTGGGTTGTTTCTCAGTGATACACTGAGAATTCTTTTAACATGAGTCATTTAGCACAAGGAGGAACAGAGCTGTTGAAGAAATACCTAAAAGTGGAATTACTAGCTCAAAGTGCAGGACATTTGCTATTTTGATGGATTTTGCCACACTGGTTTCCCATTTATGCTCACCAGCAATGCATAGGAACACTTGGGTCCCTGCAGTGAGGGTGTGGAAAATGGCAGATGAATTCAGCCCTAATGTGCATTTTTCTTACTAGGAGGAAACTGAGCATATTTTATGGGATTTAAGCATCAGTTACGTTTCCTTTCCTGTTCACATCCTTTGCCCTTGCGTCTGTCAGGTTATTGGTCTTTGTTTTTAATTTACTGAAGCTCTTTACTTAGAAGATTAATTAACCCTTTGCCTCTGGAGAGTCTTTCAGTTTGTCATTTGTCTTTTGACTCTGAGGTGGTTTTTGCTGATTTCCTTTGATGCATTCTAATATGTCTGACTTTTCTTTGGCAGCTTATGGATTTTCTGTCACCCACTAAAGCCCTCACTATTCTCTCAGTCTTCTTGATTTAACCTCCCACAGGTTTCCTCTTTCACCAAGCGCTCGCTGCCTCTCAGTTGCATTTGCTGACGCCTCCTCCCTCACCCAGCCTCTGATGCTAGAACACTCATGGTGTGGCTGGGCCCCACTTCTCTCCTCTGCAGACACCCACCTGTGTTGATCAAAGGCAGGCCCAGGGCTCCATTTGCCATGTATATGCCCTAGAGCCCTTGCTTGCACTTCCCAGCAGCCTGAATGAAATATCTGTTCATCACATGCCCTATAGACATCTCAAGCAAGGCACATCCCAAACCCAGAACAAAGTCCGGGAGCTTATATTCCCTGCTCCCACCAATCCCTTTCTGTTGGCTCCACCTCCAGCCTCCATCAGGGCCACCCACTTCTTTGCATTGCAGAAACCATCATTGCCCACCCAGACAGTGCAAGGGCTGTCTGTCCCCACTATTACCCTATAGCTCTTCCAGAAAGAGGCAATTTTTTCTAACTTATGTAAGACCCAGAGCACTTTTTCTTTTTCCTTCTTTCTTTTTTTATGTCCCCTAAAATTCATATGCTGGTGGAAAGCATTTTTTTTTTTTTTTTTGAGACAGTCTCACTGTGTTGCCCAGGCCAGAGTGCCATGGCATCATCCTAGCTCACAGCAACCTCAAACTCCTGGGCTCAAGCAATCTTTCTGCCTCAGCCTCCCGAGTAGCTGGGACTACAGGCATGTGCCACCTTGCCTGGCTAATTTTTTCTATATATTTTTAGTTGTCCGATTAATTTCTTTCTATTTTTAGTAGAGACGGGGTCTCGCTCTTGCTCAGGCTGGTTTCGAACTCCTGAGCTCAAACAATCCGCCCGCCTCGGCCTCCCAGAGAGCTAGGATTACAGGCGTGAGCCACCGCGCCCGGCCTGGTGGAAAGCTTTTTCTCACACAGCCCAGTCTTCCTCTTTATGTGAGGCTCTGTCCCACTGTCACCTCCTCAGGGAAGCCTGCACAGATAGAATCCCCGCCCCTGCTCTTGCCACCTCTCTGCCTCATTGGTCAGTTTCCATGTCCCTAGGGCTGAAGTGGGTCTGGGCACAGTGGATACTCTGTCATGAATGAGTGGGTCCCCTTTCGCACACAGGGTTTGTGCTCCAGATGAACAGCGTCTCCACAGGCCCAGGTTCTGAAAGCCCTCCCCTTCACGTCTCCTGGGACATTGGCATGGCAGGCCTCTCAGCTCGGACACAGTCACGCTCTCATGAAGGCGGCTTCGCGCATGCACTCCTGCTCCCCAGCGACCGGAGCACCGAACAGGACCCCATGGACGAGGATTCCTGCCCGAGTGTGGGGCCCACGCTGGTCACCACTACCGCCCGTTGGCACACCCCCAGGGGCCGAAACCGGGGCCGGGGCCGCCCCAGCACTGGGGCAGGGGCAGTTCGGGGCGGCCGTTGTGACGTGTGTGGCAAGGTGTTCAGCCAACGCAGCAACCTGCTGCGGCACCAGAAGATCCACACGGGTGAGCGACCATTTGTGTGCGGCGAGTGCGGCCGCAGCTTCAGCCGCAGCTCACACCTGCTACGCCACCAGCTGACGCACACTGAGGAGCGGCCTTTTGTGTGCAGCGACTGTGGCCAGGGCTTTGTGCGCAGTGCACGCCTGGAGGAGCACCGGCGTGTGCACACAGGTGAGCAGCCCTTTCGTTGCTCAGAGTGCGGCCAGAGCTTCAGGCAGCGTTCCAACCTGCTGCAGCACCAGCGTATCCACGGAGACCCACCCGGCCGCGGCTCTGTGCTCCCCGCCCTTTCTGGCGCGCCCGAGCCCCCGGGCCCCTTTCCGTGCAGCGAGTGCTGCCAGAGCTTCACGCGGCGTGCAGTGCTGCTGGAGCATCAGGCAGTGCACACAAGCGACAAGTCCTTCGGCTGCGTGGAGTGCGGCGAGCGCTTTGGCCGCCGCTCGGTGCTGCTGCAGCACCGGCGCGTGCACAGCGGCGAACGGCCCTTCGCCTGCGCCGAGTGCGGCCAGAGCTTTCGGCAGCGCTCCAACCTCACGCAGCACCGGCGCATCCACACGGGCGAGCGGCCCTTCGCCTGCGCCGAGTGCGGCAAGGCCTTCCGTCAGCGGCCCACACTCACGCAGCACCTGCGCGTGCACACGGGCGAGAAGCCCTTTGCGTGCCCCGAGTGCGGCCAGCGCTTCAGCCAGCGCCTCAAGCTCACGCGCCATCAGAGGACACACACGGGCGAGAAGCCCTATCATTGCGGCGAGTGCGGCCTGGGCTTTACGCAGGTATCGCGGCTCACGGAGCACCAGCGCATCCACACGGGCGAACGGCCCTTCGCCTGCCCTGAGTGCGGCCAGAGCTTCCGGCAGCACGCCAACCTCACCCAGCACCGGCGCATCCACACGGGTGAGCGGCCCTACACGTGCCCCGAGTGTGGCAAGGCCTTCCGCCAGCGGCCCACACTCACCCAGCACCTGCGCACCCACCTGCGAGAGAAGCCCTTTGCCTGCCAGGACTGCGGCCGCCGCTTCCACCAGAGCACTAAGCTCATCCAGCACCAGCGCGTGCACAGTGCCGAGTAGCTCCAGCCAGGACACACTGCGTCCACCTTGGTCAGAACACCTGCCTTACAGGGTTGTTGGGAGGCCAGTGATTGCATAGGTACAAGCAGGCCCGCTCAGGGCCTGGTCCCCATTAGGTGCTCAATAAACAGTAGATGGAAAACTGGGTCTTCAGCCACACGGTACCTCCCCACCTGCATGGTCGCTGTGTACCCACTCTATCCACTGTGCTGTACTGGGGTATTCCCTCTGCACCCAAGTGGTTCCTGTGAGGGCCATGACCCTCCCCCAACATCCCCTCATAGCTGCAGAAGTGGCTTCCGACAGCACCTGCTCCCATGTGTTGGGTGGTCCTTGTACCATGTCTCTGACTTACACCAAAGTAATGGCCCAGCAACAGGTAGGGCAGAGCAGCCCTGGGCAGCACACCTCAGTCTCCCAAATGCAGAGAGGAGGGAATGTTCTCTTTGAGGATCTGCTTGGAGACCACATGTGCATAGCGTGGTGCCAAGCCTGATCATCAATCAGGGTCCAGTCAAGAGACAGAGCCATAGCAGGTGTTTTAACAGAGCTTCGACGGAGGTGTTAGGTGATTGATGGGTGACTGAAAAGGGTGAGTCAAGCTGTCTTGGAGGGGGAAAGGTGAGAACTGCAGGGAGCGGCTAGACACCCCCCCCCCAGGGCTAGAGGAACAAAGGGAAGCATAGCAACTTAGACTCCAATGAGTTTCCCATGGAGCTGAAACTCAGGCCCTTGAGAAGGATGGGGGTGCTGCCAGTCTGGTCCTGGGGTCTCTTACCTGGCAGGGAAGCCCTGTGGGCCTGGGACCCAGAGCTGTAAGGGGGGGTTACTGTAGCTGGTGCTGGGGTCGCTGGGCTCAAAGAAAGGTGACTCAGGGGTCTAGGATGAGACTCCTGAGGAGGGTGCACTGGCATGGGTGTCTCTGAGGGGCACAAAGAGTCTGATTCTGGGAGGTTATATAAAAACTGCTGCTCCTGGAAGGATCTTGTGCCCTAGTCTTTTCTCCCTTCCCAACCCCACTTCCACTCTGTCCCTAACGGAGCTGCAGGTGAAGAGGAGTGCATTTATGAAATCTCTGCCTTGCACATTGATGCCTAGGTGGACAAGTCTGGAGCCCAGACCTTATTGGGCGACATCCCACAGTATCCTCCCTTGACACTGAGGCCACTACCTGGGGCCTCTGAGGGGTTGGGAGAACACTCAGTCCCCAGGGGGATTACCAGCCTGTTAAGCCACCAAGTTTTCCACCTTGCTCCAAGTCAGCACTGATGAAACCACCTTTTCCACCCCCAGCTCAGCTATCCGATCACCCTATCAGCATCCTACACCTCCTTGCGATGGTCATAAGTGGCCAAGGATTTCTCCCTATCAACAGGAGTAGCTGCTGGAGAGTTGGTACTTGGGGCTTTCAGCGCTCTGATAGCTGGGAGCCCAGGATCCCACTTGGATCCTCCAGCTCCCAGGTTTGTGAGTGGCACTGTGCCTGGCTTGTGATACCTGTGACCTGCACACACCCTCCTGTTGTGTCTGTCCCCAGGACCATGGGCCAAGCCAACTCCCAGGAGAGGACCTGGACTGGCCAGATTCTCCCCAGCTAACCAAGATCATCAAGTGCGGCAGAAGTAGCAAATTGGCACCTAGTGAGCCAAATCTTGCCTGCAAGTGTCTTTGTAAAATTCCTGTACACCTAGGAAACCATTTCCTAGGTTCAA